ATATATATATATATATATATATATATATAAATAATTCAATCTAAAATCCAACATTTTTTATAATATCTGTGATATTCCGAGGTTTTCCTGGTTTGCACTTGATATCCGCAGAGGGAAGACGTGCAACCGCATTTATTCAACTTCCTAAAATAGAAATAAATTCCGTTTGTACCTTAAAACAGGCCGTTTCCAAATGTACTTCAGCCAGTAGCTTTGCATTATCACTGTAAAACATTAACCAGCAAAAACAGTGTAAAACAATCACGCAATATAAATGTTACGCACCAGTTGCCAGAGCCGATAATGCAGACTTTCTTGGCCGCCATACTGCGCGTCTGTCCCGGCTGGACTGGCTGTAGGACTTCGGTGTTTGAGAGCCGCTGACGGACCGGAGAGAATCCTGTGGGCGCCCTTTTAAATAGCCCATGAATGCTCCTCACTCCCCTTAACGCGCATTGGCTAATTTCTCATCATACATGAGCGCAATTCAAGGCAGGACTGATTATTGACCAATGATCCGATGATTTATTATTATTAGAAACTATCACTCGTACTGTATTTAGGTTGCGAATTACGTGGGATTTAACTGTTAAGACTCGAAACCACAAGGTGGACATTTCTGTAGGCTAATACACAGAAAAACCGTCAGTAGCATTTTTAAACATTTCTGCAATCACAAAGCACGGTTAAATACACGACCTCGCATTTTCACACAAAAGAGACTCCTGTGGTAACGGTTCGTCGAAATGTAAGTATGCATGTTCTCAATAATAATTATTATTTGAACAAACAAAACAGAACTTTTTCTCTAAAAAAGTACACAAAACATGTTTGTGCTAATTAATCTCTCAGAAAGTTCAGTTGGCATTTAGGCGCCAAAACTGTGCCTTACAGTTTATTACAGTTAACAATAGGCAAAGCCAAAAAATGTGACCCTGATAGCACACGTACATCACGGAGACGTCTATTTGACGTCGCATTTACATCTGCAAGAGGTATTTTTTAGTGTTTGCTCATCTGCAGTACACTATAGGACGTTTCAGATGTCAAATAGACGTTTAGAAGATGTCTTTAAGAGTTTTATGATTTAGAATGTACGTAAAACTGACGTCTGAAAGATGTCTATCAGATGTTTGTACACAGCAGATGCTTTCCAAATGAAGCGATATTGTGCAGAGTATTGCATCGCTTACAGTTCTAATTCCACACCTCAGGAAAAACATTAAGAGCACTGATTACATTTAACACCGGGCTGAGCATTGATACAAGATTATCTTTATTATAACACAAGGGCTAATAGAGAAATACAACATTTGGTCCATTAAAGAAAATAAAGAAAAACAAGACTTTAAGATATAAAAATCAAAACAAATACATGACTTTAGGAAAACAACGAAATGTAGTTAAAACTTAAACTACCCAGAATGTTAAAGTCTTTAGCAAGTTCTAAATGCTTTGAATTACTCGAGTGGAAGAACCCACTGCCTCTCTGCAGCATTAAAACACTTGACCGTTTTCCTAGACGTTTTGTGGGTAGCCATGACCAGTTAGTACTTGCACTGGCAGGTTTTTCATATTGTTCACATATAGAGTGACAAGTTGACTTTAATGACAAGAATTAATCAAATGAACCAATAAACCATGAATGCGTTTCTCTAAATATATCAATACACCACAGCGAGGTTAGAGTGGAAGTACTTTAAAGTCCAGGACAAAGCTTGTGACCAAAAGATCTATAATCAAACAGGTCGATCAGCAGTACATCTAATCTTGTGGACCTAAACGACTATTAAACGGATGAGCTATTAAAAAAATCTTATATATCGAGCGTTGCAGAAAACGCTAACAAGTGAGCTCGCCTTTAATGTCAACAGACTTGTTCAAGGAACTTCCTCCAAATAATTCATCTTCACAGAGCTGAGGTACTACACTATGTCATTATCAGTCATCTATGTTTAACTAGACTAGATCTTCATAAAGTTCATATTATGAGAACATTAAAATATCAAGGACAATATCGATAACTTTAAAAATAAACAATGACCCCTCCAAAAAGTAACTCTTGCTGATTGGTTAATATGGAAAGTGGCGAATGGGCTCAAACATTAGCATGTCTAAGAGCATTCTTGCGGTTTGGAATTTAGTTACATAATTAACAAAATTATCCAACAAAGCCTGTCAGTTTGGTCAGAAATCTACATTTTCCGAAGTGACCGCATCGCAAAATCACCTTGACAAACATTCAGTCACGTGGGAACCTTGAAATATGTAAAAATAAGGATGACAGCAGACAACAGTTTGGCAGAGTCACAACAAAAATAAGGTAATTTCTGAATAAGGGTTATTCTTGGGCAGCTACAGCAGGACAGCACAAGATAAACTGTAATATAACTGTAGTGATCAGCGTCTGCAGCACAGAGCAGCAGGACATTTGCTACCCAGAACCCCCTCTGGTCCTGTGTCGTAACGGCCGCGAGCTTGCTTATGTGTTTCGAATGCCAAGAGCCTGTTCCAGCTCCTGTCTCCTTTGCTGAACCTGAGAGAGCAAGATTGAGAGAAACGTCAATAAAAAGGAGACTGATTTTCCATGCAACCTTTCAGATTTCAAATTTCACAGTGGCTAAATAAGTGTAAATGCATCACCTTTGAATAGAAATATCGGCACACAGCCTCCTGAGCCCAGGGTTGGTGGTAGAACTCAGCTCTCCTTTCCTCCTCTGGGTTTCCAACCACATCTGTCATCGTCTGCAAGGACACCGAATTCAGACGTCAGCAGAACAAGATCTAACGGTTACTGATTAATGGCTTTTGTCTGGAGCAACACACGTTCAGAAACTCGTCACAACCTTCAATCCCAAGGAAATACATGCAACTGCTTTGCAACATATTTTTAGACTGATAAATTACGATTGAGCAAACAGTCGCAAGCTTTATTTTCCCTAGCCGTTTAGAAATTCAGCATCACATACAAATGCCTGTGAAACACTTTCCCAACCCCCACAATCATTACAAGTCCAGTCAGTCCACTAACTAACACTCAGCTGAGCAAATATACAGATGGAGAAAGACTACAGCTCTGGGCGAAGGTTAAACAACCTCTTCCGGCTAGCGAACTCAGAACTTAGCAGAAGCACTGCACTTATGAACCCTGCAGGTTTTAGAAGATAAAATGGAACTTCCAACTTCATGTGTCCATAAAAACATGATATTATCATGGAACCAGGGCAAAAAGTGTTGTAATATGAAGTAGTGTTGTCAAAAGACCCGGTACTTCGGTACCAAGTCGGTACTAAAAAATGAAAACGTTACGATACCAGGTTTTTTTTTTTAAGTACCGAGTACCCGATCAACCCGGTTCTTGATGCGCTATCCGAAAGGTGCGCAAATGCGTTCTCTTCAGCGGGTGTTTTTATATCGCTGTATTTCTGAAGGAAACCGACTGTCTTCAGAAAATGATGGTCATTTTCATTTCATCTTGCCTGTTATGCCTGATAAAGCAGCGTTTGAGCACAGTGCTTATTTGATTACAGCCGTTACCGGGGAAACCTCCATCTCTCCCGCTCTACAAGCGCCTCCTGCTGCCAGAGAATGAATTTGCATATATGCTGTTATTACAGTAGTTAATCGTTAGCATAAACGCGGCTAACACTAATATAATGAGCATTAGAATGAAGTTTCTTTATGAACTTTTTAATGCTCTTATAACTTTTATTAGGGTAAAAAAAACAGGAGGACATGGTGATATTTACAATTTTTACACACCAGAGGCTTTTAAATGAATTGTGAATCTAAAATATGCGTGTTAGAGAATGTACAAATGGTTAACATTGTTTGTGTCATAT